TTGATTATTAATAACAATAATAAGACTCGGGTTCTCAGTATGAAATTCTTGAGAGGAAGAGATCTTGTTTTTGTTCAAACCTAACAGGCTCACAGAGAGTAAATATAAATATTCTAAAGCAGCCCTAGGTCTTTGAACTGTTAACTAAACAAGTTAAAAACACACCTGAAAAATTGCCTGGTTACGGACTCTGCTCGTTCTCAGTAACTCTGAAGCATCTCAAAACTGGAGGAAGTTCTTCCAAATGTATCATGAATTGTTCAAAACCAGTTCACTATATCAGTCAGTCAACGACAATAATAAAATACATTATATTAACTAATATTTTCCACACGGGCCAGGCACAACTTTCGTTCATATATTCATATTCTTTTCCCTATGTGGGGTAAAGATCGGTGGAGAAAGTGGGAAGAAACGAGAAAGAAATGGGGTGAAAAGAGAGGACAAAAAAGAGGAAAGAGTTGAGGAAGAAAGGGAAAAAAGAAAAGTAGGAAGGGGAGAAAAAAATAAAAGAAAGTTAGAGGGGAGAAAAAACAATAAAATTTAGGGCTATTAAAATATAAAAGATTGTGAATGGCTATTTCACCCTTCATAACCTAAGGTTGAATTTACTTGGTCACGATTTTGGGGGTGACTTGATTTATTTCTGAAATTGTTGGGGAGAACTGATTAAAATCGTCACAATTGTTTGAAAAAAATTTCCAAAACTTTAGGGGGTAAATTGATTTTTACTTTATTTCTAATGCATAACATTAGACTATGTTAGACTCAATAGTCTAATATTTAAGAGTATAATTTAACAATCTAACTAAAGCATGCTAAATAATGCTAGACTTGTAATCTAGTGCATTTCAGCTATTTTTGTCATTGTCATTTTTCATTAAGGGCAATTAGGTTAAATCATGTGATTTTATGGCTAAATTTGTCCTTAAAACAAGCCCTTAACATTTTGAGAGTTAAAATTAGTAAGAATGACTATATATGATAATGTCTCTATAGATAATGGATTGCATCCAATTTACATAATCTCACCATGAAAATGATGAAGGGTAAGAGTTATTTAATTGCATTTATAATAATGTAAAAATAGAGATGTAAAAACCATGGGCCCGAGCCAGGGCTACCTGGGCTCAGCTTGATTTCTTTTTCTTTTTCTTTTTCTTTTTTTAAATCCAAGCCCGAGTTGAAAACACCTATATGTAATTTTATGAATCTTATATAATATATTCGGGCTCAGGCCTAACCTGGGCATTACTAGCAAAACCCAGGTTTGAGGTTTATATATACTTAAGTTAGGCAAAACATGCGCAAAGCTGGAGCTAGTCAAGGACTGGTTCCAAGCGGGCCCGGGCCTAGGCTCTTTTGGGATTGGTCCCATTTGGGACCAGTCGCTCATGGGCCTAGGATAGGCATGAGCAATTTTAGGACTGGGCCTGTCCTATGGGCCTAGAAAATTTTATTTTTCCCTATCTTTTTTATATTTTAGGGGTGAAATAAAATTCTGTAAGGGGTTTATGTAACTTTCAGGGGTAGATTAGTAAGTTTTTAAAAATTTAATTAATTTTAAAAAATAATAAAATAATAAATAAATCAATGGTTAATTTTAACACAAATATAATATTCATACAATCACACATTCACGCTTCACAAATAAACAATTAAATAATTTTTTATATTAAATTATTCATCATCATCTCAACAATATTTAAATCATTAAAATCTATCTTCCTAAAGAGTTAGAGTAGTGCGGGATCTTCAGGATGCTGTTGTAGTCTTCTCTCTGCATGAGTCCAATCCTGTAAACACGTTATCACTTTAATCATCTCATCGGTTAAAGAACATCTTTTGTCTTCAATAATCCAGCCACTCGTTGAAAATGCTAACTTGGATAAAATTGTACGGCACAAATAAAATGTCACGTGCCATTGGGGCTATAATGAGAAATCGACTTTGATGTTGGTTCCACCATTGAAGCACATCCATCTCACGTTTCTCCTTCTTCGTTATGTAGGACATGTCCATTTGTAGGTAGCGATTCAACTCATTTGGTCCATATATGTACGAGCTGGAGCTACTACTTCCGCCATGTTCCATATACGTCCACATGCTCGATCCTTGATGGAGGTCTTCATCAGGGTCCTGATGATCTCTCTTGGATGTTCCACTTCAACTTCCATTGTACCTGTTCTGATATAAAGAAAAAAGGCTTTCCAATTTTTGCTTAAAGTTGGTCAAATAAGACTTATAATCTTGTCCTAAATGCTGGCCCATCTAAGTAATTATACATTTAACTATGTGTAATTTAAACCTAAGATCTACAACAAGGCCTAATCCATATAAGAATGGAATATCTAACAAATATTTCTCGTATTTTTGTTCCTTCTTTAAAACAATTTCCATTAAAACGTCATTATATCTATATTTAGCAAAAGTTTTAGAAATTTGAAGTAAAATATCTAACGCTAAATTAGTAGTCAGATAATAAATACCACTTAATGTATTAGTGGGATCATAAAAAAATTTAAAAAATGAATTAAAAAGTTCACAAACCGCCCAATCATCATACTTGACAACTTTTGCTGGATGGTTCTTCCGGTTGACAAAATTTGTAATTTGTCTTGCGGTTAACAAAGCTTTTTCCAACATCAAGTACGTGGAGTTTCAACGGATAGGCATGCCCGTACATAACTTCAAAGGTCAAACTAGTGGTCCTCTTGCCTATAATATTTGACGTACTCCTGCCATCTTTAGTTGCTACCGCCAACTATAAATCTGATAGCCATGCACATCCTCTCCATCTTTGAATGTATAGCATCTAAACCTGCTTTAACAATCAAATTGATGATGTGGCAAACACATCTCTAGTGAAAAAAATTGCCTTCAACATACAAATTCAATCTCTTTTCAAATAAAGAGATTGTTGCGGTGTTAGCAGCTGCATTATCAAACGTTAGCACTACAGCTTTATCAGTTAGTACATATTCTTGCAAAACTTCAAGAATTGTGAAATAAATAGCGTCAGCACAATGTTTATCATATAATGGTTTAAAACCTATCAATTTTTGTTGTAAACTCTAACTATGATCTAAGAAATGTATTGTGAAAGTTAAAAAATCTGTTTTTGATCTACAAGCCCATATGTCTGATGTAAGTCTAATAGATATATTTCTAAAATTTTGAAATTCGTTTTTAGGTTTATTATTTATTTTGTTATAAAGTTTTAGTATATCTCTTCTACTAACAGGGGTATATGCTAGACAAAATGCAATTTTAATCATGTGAATAAAATAAGGATTTTCATATAAACAAATGGGAGAGTTCGTAGAAACTATGAATCTTGCTATTTCCTCTTGTGCAACATGTGCATTGTATTTCCATGTTAAGAGAGTTGAGGATTATGGATTAAAATTAAGTTAAATTTGAATTTGCCTACCTGATCCCATTGAAGATGTACTGGACAACTGCATTATTTGGGTGTGCTTCTTCTCCAAGTGTCGTCACATCGTCGAATTCCCTTTCTCAGCGCCAATAATGGTTCCATAGAAATTACATACCCCAGACGATTCTTCCCCCTCCCCATTTGTCTTTGGCCGATTTGATTTGGTGAAATGTCGTCGTACATCGGACATGACCCTCTTTGACGATCGAGGGGGTTGGGCCATGCCCGTACCCATTGAGTCGCAACTTGCTTGTGTTTGGTTGTACCTCATCCTGACCGAATGTGGTTGTTGAATTGCAGTTGCTGCCTTTGGAGGAAAGGGTGAAAATAGATTGAACCCTTCTATTTCATCGGTGGATGAAGCGTAAAACTCATTTGTGGATGATCCTCTGAATGCATCATTTCGAAAATCCATTATGAATTTATGATAAAATAATAAATAATTAAAATGAAAAAAATTAAATAATAATATGAATAAGAGATGATATTGAAAAATTGAATATTATAAATAAATAAATAATAACATGAATAAATTATGAATATAAATATAAATTGAATGAGAATTCGATTGGAAATTAAGTGTTGTGGAAAAAATGAGAAATTTAGGGGATATTGGTAGTGTAGCTTTTTTTTTGGGGGGGAGGAACGGCCGAACGGGGGACTAAATCTGTGTCAAATCATCACCGAACCCATGTCAATCACCACATTTCAAAAATATTGAAAACTTAGGAGAGGTCAACGTAATTATCCCAAAAAGTTTTCATCGAGTAATGTGTTTACCGTTTAAAGCTAATTTTTTAAGTATAAACATAGTAAAGGTACCATATGTTATTTTAACAAATACGAGTAAGAGAAGTGAATATGGGGAATCAGTATGGCTAACATTTTTCATTTTTTAAATCACCTCAACTTTTTGAAGTAAAAAAAGTAATAGAAAATTCAATGATGATGTTGGGAATACTTTTCTTCCATAAGTGGACATGCTTTGCATTGCCTTATAATTTATATGAATAAATGAAGATTCCCTCACCTCCCTCGAGGTTTGGGTTCCAGATGAGGCCCCACAGGTTTGATTATATATCGGTTCGGTTTTTAGGGGGACACCCGAACCTAACTAAAAAATATTTTGGGTCTAGACTTTTAGACTCAATTAACCCAATTTTTTTTTTATAGAATCGAACCAAATTGCACTGTTTGGTTTGGTCCGGCTCGAGTTTTGGCTTCAGGGTTTTTTCATACCACTATTCCCATGTCAAGAAACTTATAGTTGGAATGAGAGACTGCTTGTTTTTATGAAAGAAGGCATAATCCAAGAAGGAAAATGAGAGTTAGAGTTCATATTCGTGTAGGAATTGAATGGGCAAAGTTTATATAATAATACACTACAAGAAAAACCCTAATTCTTGATAATTATTAACTATCAATAATTTGATTTATCAAGGAAGCCCTGTCAAGAAATAGTTTTGATAATTTCTAAACTGTCAAGGATTTNCTTCTAGCGTCTTCAAGAAAAAAGAGAGATGGTATTAACAAATGGGAGAACGAAATTTTCCCACCCAGTTAAGTTTGGCGAAATGACACTTTCCCACCCATGGAGTTTCAAAACGACATTTTCCCATCACTGTTATGTTCTGTTAGGCAAATTCATCCTGAAGACGGATAAGAGATGGTCAATTTAAATGAAGCCACAAAAATCAAAATTTAAAGATTGAAACTTTACCGGAATGGTTGTCACGTGTCTCACTAAAGTTGACTTGGAAAAAAAAAGGAAGAAGCGTTTTCTCCCTGTTCTCAATAACTCAAGTGACTGCTGAATTAGGGTTGGTGACTGGCAAGAGAAGAGATCGTGTGGAGAGAAATCTAGGTTTCTTTTAAATTGTAGGACTATAGTGAGGATTATCAATACCTGCGGATTTAGGTATATTTTCCTCTAAATCACATTCCTTTATGTTTCCATTGTGTTGTTTAATTCTGTCCCACTGTATTTTGATTATCTCCTCCATTTGTTGATCGTTGCTTCTTATTTAGATTTCTTACTGTTGTTTCCGCATTCTAAGTGTTTGATTAATTACTGCACTAGATATATTGTAGTTTTCTCAGCATATGCTCAAGCATGCTTTCCAAAAACAGAGCCCTAGCTGACTCTACTAAATCAATAGCCTCCTCTTCTTCTCACCAATACCAATCATCATCATCAACCGAAAAAATGGCCAACAATTATGACCTTCTAATTGGAATATTTGTTTGCCTTCCTATCAAAATCTTGGTAAATTTTAAAGTTGTATCCAAACACTAGATTTCCCTCATCTCCACCCCAACTTCTCCCTCCACCTAAACCTTATTCCTAGACCCATCTTTGCCCTCATTTTACTTTTAAAATATATTCCCAAAATTTTGTGTCAAAAGGACCAAGAACAGATACTAAATTTGAGTTCACTAAATATCAGTTGATTAATCTTAATTCCGACTCCTCTCATGTGCTCTTCAAGAGTCTCATTTTGAATCAGGGACCATTGTACTACAATCTTGTTATAGTCTATCGCTATGTGGCAATTTTAATTGGTACAACCCTTAAAAACCCTGTTTCATTTTCAATGCCATTACCAAGCAACACATTAAGCATCCTCACATCATTGGAAGTTCTACAACTTCTGTTCTAAATGTAATTATCAATGAATGATGGTATTATTTTATTGAGATGTTGTCATTTTGTTGAAGTTATTAACTTATTGTTTTTTCTTTTCTCTTAAAATGAAACACTTTGTTATTTACTTCAAAAATACTTGCTACCCATAATCCTGCTTCGTTGGTGAGGAACACATAATTATTCTTGTCTGGCTTGTCCGGTGATCTTGTTAATCACATTGTTAGTTTTACTACACCAGGCTCTTTAGAATTTCATTGTAGGTATATGTTACTTTTCAATTATTCTTATGTCTCTTCAGTAATGGGTTTTGTTTCGTTATTATGAACCTGATTAATCAGTTGCTTCTCATTTAGGCAATATTGGAGGTTATTAGATGATAGAAGCTGCACCAAAGGAAACACAGGCAGTAAAGGTAGCATAATATGCAAAATGTTCCTGCATGTACCATCTCTTTCTGTTTGTTTGCGTGATTGTGATTAGATTTTTTTAAATCACCAACAAGTGTTTTCTAATTTTGCAGGTTGAACATGTGATATGAGAACAAAATGTTTTCGCTACAACTGAATTCATTGAGCTATTTTCTGAGTTAATAGTGACCAGACTTACCATCATTGCAAATGGAAAGCTGGTGTGATATTTGCCTCCCCAAGGTGCTCAGAAATTCTAGAAATAGCGGCAATGAGGAATATTTTTGAGAAAAAAAAAACATGGTAGAGATTTTGTATCTGCAGCCTAATTCTGGAGTAAATCCCATGGTAATCAAAGATTTATGACTTTGGAATTTGTAGATATCTCATTTTTTTTTTAGATATACATTCATACTATCATGGATCTTCTCATCAAATATGTTATTTCTAAGTTATATAAAGATTGAGATGGTACATGCAGGAACATTTTGCATAGTATGCTATGTTTGCCCTGTCACAGTATCTTTTCAATGACTTAATAATGCTTGATTTTGCTTACAATTAATTGAGAAACTATGTTAGAACCTCTCCTGGAGTAGTGAAGTTAAAAGTGATGAAAGAAATAGCAAAAGAATGTCAAATTGACTGATACACTTGAAACATTGGTTTGGAAAATTATGTCTTTTTGTTTTTCTCTAAAGCACCTATAAATACTCTGGCCTAAATATTTGATTTGGATTGCATATATGCTATGATTGGATAGATGAGTGCAAAGAATGATGGTTATAGCTTTGGTCTTGTCCTGTCGGAACTCTTAACTGGGCAAAAGCCTGTTGATCATACTCTATCGCATGGATAGCAGAGCCTTGTGACATGGGTATGAACTTCATCTTTGTTTTTTTCTACCACTAACTCTTTTTGAAACATACATATTTTTTCTATTTTGTTATTCTTTATACTTGTAGATAGCAAATTCATATATGTGTAAGCTTCATTCAAGTTGATTTTTATGCAATTCAAGTAGTGAAGTTTAAAGTGATGAAAGAAATAGCAAAAGAATGTTAAATTGACTAATACACTTGAAACATTGGTTTGGAAAATTATGTCTTTTTGTTTTTCTCTAAAGCACCTATAAATACTCTAGGCTTAATATTTGATTTGGATTGCAGATACGCTATGATCGGACATATGAGTGCAAAGAGTGATGCTTATAGCTTTGGTCTTGTCATGCCAGAACTCTTAACTGGGCAGAAGCCTGTTGATCATACTCTGTCACGTGGATAGTAGAGCCTTGTGACATGAGTATGAACTTCATCTTTGTTACCACTAACTCTTTTTGGAACATACATATTTTTTCTATTTTGTTATTCTTTATACTGGTAGATAGCAAATTCATAAGTGTAAGCTTCATTCAAGCTGATTTTTATGCAATTCTGGATTATTTTAGGAAACTCCAAAACTCAATGAAGATAAGGTGAAGTAATGCGTTGACGCTGCTAAGTTAAATGGAGAATAGCCTCCTAAGGTAGTTGCAAAGGTACTGAAGATGGTAACTTTGACTGAAAATAATACATCAAATTCAAGCTTTCTTAGTGGAAAAGCAAAGGATTGTCAAGAAGGTTTTGAACATCTAGAAAGCAAAGGAAAAGCAAGCTTCAAGGAGCTAGAAAGCGGACCATGAAAGCAAAACTTTTTCGATTTTAAGAAATGAATGAGAAACCAGGGAAACTTACTTTCTTTGTATTGAATTCCCTATTTCTATTGGGTTTGAATTGACAAAATTACTTATATATATATGAACTGTATTTATACAATCTAGTCTCTTATTTAAGAATATCAGTAATGTTAATACCTAGTTTTATTTGGATTCAAATTGACAAAATTTAAATATAAATGTGTTGCTGCAGCTGAAGGGACAAATTGGTAATTTTAAAGGTTTACATTTTTTTAAAATCCAACGGCAACTTCATCAATTTAAAACATTATTTTTAATAGTAATTTACATTTCTAAATATAGTTAAGGGTATATCAATAATTTCATCTTTAAGGATGGTTAGATTGGTAATTGATTCTATTGACATAACATAAAATAATAAAAAAATTACAAACTGAAATAGTAAAGGATATTTTCATCTTTGAAGTCAAATAATAATGAATTTTGTAAACGGAACATGATGGTTGGTGGGAAAGTATGGATGTAAAACTTCACAGAGTGTGAAAGTGTCGTTTCGCCAAACCTTGTATAGAAAAATGTCGTTCTCCCCTAACAAAGTAGATTGACTTTGTCCGCTTTGGGTCTAACTTTAAATAGGTCCGCACGGGTTTACATTTGGGCTTCATACAAACCTTATACACTGAATCTTAAGGTCATTTAGCTGCAATGTGTTTAATGGTGATTTGGGGGAAATAATAGTGGAATACAATAAAACAAATTAAACCCAAATCAAGCCTAATCCAAGATCAAGAGCAAAGAATATGTGCATTTTAATGAAAACCCATACAAGAAAATAGATTATACCTCTGTTGATGGCTCCTTCTCCTTAAAGAAATAATTTCTTTGCAAGCCATATCAAGTATAGACACGCACTTACACAGTCCACACAAAAGCAAACCCGAAAAGGCAAGAAATAATTGATTGCTAGATCAACCTTTTACAATTCATGATGATGGAGACTAAACGGGGCAGCTAGATTTTTTGTGAGTCTAAATATTNCAATTTTTAGCCTAAAATCAATTCAATTGATTTTGTTTTTCTTCTTAATCTTGAAGCCAAAGAGGATCTAGCAAATCCCTCTTTGGTTCTTTTTGAGATTGTCTTCATGTGGACTACACAGGTTCGATCCTACACTTGGATCGGTAGCAAAACATTCGTCGACAAATTTGGAGGAGCCTCCAAACGTGCATTTGTTTCTCTTAACTGATGTTGAATATTTCTGCAGATTCTTATTATGATAAATTGTAAAATTATACCCTTGATCTTAGCTCATGTAAACAATCCCTGAGTTATATTATTTTTGTTTCCGCTGCGTATATGGGACCATTTACTAACATCACCTCGGCGAAGAAAGTTCTTCGCCGCGGCGACAATGCCTTAGAAAAATTTTTAAATTTCCATCCTACTTTCTTCGTCGGGGCGAAAACCTCCAGGAGCTCCCACAATTTTCATGCTGCTTCGCCTTGACGAAGAACAATCTTCGCCGCGACGAAGTCTAGGACTTTCACAACATATTTTCTACACAACGCTTCGCCATGACGAAGAATACTTCTTCGCCCTGGCGAAGTCTGGAGCATTTGAATTCCTTTCTTTTGCTGAAAACGTCATCTGAAATACCCAAAAACACACTTAAAAATTCATAAAAACTTATAATGAAATTAAACAAAATCAAACAACCAAAATGAAAAGCAAATAGTTAAAAACACTTGGGTTGCCTCCCAAGAAGCGCTTGTTTATAGTCGATAGCTCGACTCTCTCAATCCTTCAAATTGGGATGTCAAGCCGGATTGGGATGGATTTGCAACTCATCATCCCATCTATGTAGGGCTTCAATCTCTGTCCATTCACCGTAAAGGTGCCCTTTTCTTCATGTGACACTGCCACTGCTCCGTATAGGTGAACTCTTGTCACTGTGAACGGTCCGGACCATCTAGACTTAAGTTTTCTGGGAAAAAGCCTAAGTCTAGAGTTGAACAACAACACCTTCTACCCTACTTCAAAATCCTTCTTCCAGATATGCTTGTCATGCCACCTTTTTGTCTTCTCCTTGTAAATCCGGGCATTTTCATATGCTTCGAGATGAAACTCATCGAGTTCGTTCAAAGTCAACATTCTTTCTTCTCCAGCAGCTTTCAAGTCCATGTTTAGCTGTTTGATTGCCCAGTATGCTTTATACTCGAGTTCAACCAGCAAGTGGCACACCTTCCCATAAACCATCCTAAATGAAGACATACCAATCGGAGTCTTAAAGGCAGTTCGATAAGCCCATAAGGCAGCATCCAGCTTCCATGACCAATCTTTCCTAGATGCATTAATTGTCTTTTCCAAAATCCCTTTGAGTTCTCTATTCAACAGTTCCACTTGCCCGCTCATTTGTGGATGGTAAGGTGTTGCAACTCTATGTGTCACTCTATACTTAATCAACAGTACATCTATTTGCCTATTGCAAAAGTGAGATCCTCCATCACTAATGATTGCCCGTGGTACCCCAAACCTTAAGAAAATATTCTTTCTCACAAACTTAATCACTACCTTAGCATCATTAGTCGGCAATGCAACTGCTTCAACCCACTTCGACACGTAGTCCACCGCTACCAAAATATATGTGTTCCCAAAAGAACTTAGGAAAGGACCCATGAAATCAATCCCCACACATCAAAAAGCTCAACCACCAAGATATTGTTCAACGGCATCTCATCTCTTTTTGAAATATTACCTACCCGTTAACATTGATCGCACTCCTGAATCATCCGGAAAGAATCCTTAAAGAGGGTTGGCCAATAAAAATCCGATTGTAAAACCTTGGCTGCTGTTCTAGCTCCTCCAAAATGGTCACCTACTTCCCTCTCATGACAATGTCGTAGAATGCTTTCCATCTCCTCCTCCGGGATGAAACTCCGTATCATTTGATCATTACAGTGTCTGTAAAGAAACGGTTCTTCCCAAAAGTAGTACTTCAAATCTGAGAAGAATTTTCTCTTTTGTTGGTACGTCATACCACTTGGGAGCACCCTTGATGACAAATAGTTTGCAAAATCTGCATACCATGGTGCTTCTTCCACTCTCATCAACTTCTCATCCGAAAATGTTTCTCTAATTGGCATTTCCTCTTCATTTCCCTTGATTAGTCTCTCAATTCTCGACAAGTTATTAGCCACCACATTTTTTGACCCCTTCTTGTCTCGAATTTCCAACTCGAACTCCTGAAGTAGTAAAATCCATCTTACCAGCTGAGGGTTTGCTTCTTGCTTTGCCAATAGGTGTCGGAGTGTTGAATGGTCCGTGTAGACGATCACCTTTGCACCTAACAAGTAAGAACGAAACTTGTCAAAAGCAAAAACTACAGCCAACAATTCTTTTTCAGTGGTGGTGTAATTCAATTGTGCATCAACAAGTGTTTTGCTAGCATACTGAATTACATGCAACACTTTGTTTTTCCTCTGTCCTAAAACTACCCCTAAAGCAAAATCACTAGCATCACACATCAATTCGAAGGGCAGTCCCCAATCGGGGATTGCAATAATAGGTGTAGACACTAATAATTTTTTCAGAGTTAGAAAGGCAAGCATGCAATCATCATTAAAGTAAAAAACAACATCTTTATTCAACAAATTGCAAAGGGGTTTAGAAATCTTAGAAAAATCCTTGATGAAGTGTCTGTAAAACTCCGCATGCCCCAAGAAACTTCGGACTACTTTGACATTTGATGGTGGTGGCAGCTTCTTAATCACTTCTGTCTTTGCTCGATCAACTTCTATCCCGTCCTTGGAGATCCTCTGCCCAAGCACTATTCCCTCTTGGACCATGAAGTGACATTTCTCCCAATTCAGCACCAAGTTTGTCTCTTTACATCGCTGCAAAACAAGAGAAAGATTAGTTAGATAATTATCAAATGATGAACCAAAAACTGAGAAGTCATCCATGAAGACTTCTGTAAACCGTTCCACCATGTCTCCAAAGATTGACATCATACATCTTTGAAATGTTGCTGGTGCATTGCATAACCCAAAAGGCATCCTTCAGTAAGCAAAGGTGCCATAGGGGTACGTGAAGGTCGTCTTCTCTTGATCCTCAGGAGCGATGGCAATCTAGTTATATCCTGAATACCCATCCAAGAAACAGTAATAGGCATGTCCTGCCAACCTCTCCAACATCTGATCAATGAAAGGTAATGGAAAATGATCCTTCCTTGTCACCTCATTCAATTTACGGTAATCAATGCACACTCTCCAGCTCGTCATCGTCCTCATTGGTATCAACTAGTTACTCTCATTCTTTACCATCGTGATACCTCCCTTCTTCGGAACCACTTGTACCGGGATCACCCATCGGCTATCGGAAATAGGATAAATAATCCCCGCATCTAAGAGTTTCACCACCTCCTTTCTCACCACTTCCTTCATCGAAGGATTCAACCTCCGTTATGGTTGCACCCTAGGCTTAATATCATCCTTCATGAGTATCTTATGCATGCAAAATGATGGCGAGATAACTCTAATGTCCGAAATGGTCCATCCAATTGCTAGTCTATGTTCCTTCAACACCCTAATCAACCGCTCTTCCTCTAATGTACTCAGACCTGAACTAATGATCACCGAAAAAGTTTCTGAGTCTCTAAGATAAACATATTTGAGGTGGGAAGGTAAAGGTTTTAATTCAAGCTTGGGAGGTTCTTCATTTTTTTTCCTTCTACTTCTCTTTATCAAAATCAAACTCCTCAAATTCTACATCTTGACTCTCATCAATCGGTTGAAGTGCTTCTAACATCCTAGCACATTCATTACTCGCCGACTCATCTACCTATACTGTTTTTGATTTGGCTATACACGCTTCTAGAGGCAATTGTGGGGTGTTTTCTTCCATAGATTCCTTAATCAATTTGTCCACCACATTGACCCTAAAACATGAATCCGTTTCAGACGGAACTTCATCGCCTCAAAGACATTGAAAGTTACTGTTTCATCCTAGACTCTCAACAGTAACTTTCCTTCCTGCACATCAATAAGTTCTCTCCCCGTGGCCAAGAATGGTCGGCCCAAAATCAGAGGAATTTCCTTATCCTCTTCCATGTCCAACACCACAAAATCTGCTGGAAAAA